CTACGACTTACGCCTCGTTTACGCCAGATTTCCAGGCGTAATACGCCTTATAATTTCGTACGGGTAACATCATTACAACCTCATTTTTTTTAATAAGGACCTAGTAAAGGAAGTCCCTGATGGCCTGAACCTAGCTAGACATATTTCTTAGGCAAGGTGTATTATATAACTCTTGAAAGTATTAAAATGCAATTGTAAAATTAACTTTATCTGCTGTTAAACAATAATAACACAATAGTGGTTATTTCTAAGTATTTAGTAACAACAATGTGCAATTTAGGTAAACAAACATCAATGATCGACCACGTGTTTTTCTCGGCTGTGCTTGAATTCAAAACGACCCATCAGGTTTATTTACACGAACTTTTGCTAAAGCAGACAGTTAAACATATCTGTTTACCTTAAAAGTTCTATAAAAATGCATTTGCTGTCATGACTTGGGTATGCATGGAAATATAATGAAGATAACATTGATTTTTTACCGTAAAAATTGAATACACAGACATTCCTCAGCTATACACACAATGACAAAAAACACATCCCACTTTTGTAACGAATGATGGTAACGTATAGCCATTTTATAACAGTAAATGCCATTGAATAAGCTACCCTACACAGTACATAATATGCAAATTAATGATTGGATACGAATTTGTGTCACCTCTCAAATTGATGGGAAAATGTAAACATTGGAATCCGCCATTTTGACGCAGGAAACAAACTAATTTTCAATCTTAGATTAAAGGGCATTGCGCACATTGCCAGCGTATCATGCATAACTAGTCATGTGCAAATATATCTTTTAATTTGTTTTCTACAGCTAACTACTCTATGTTTTAGTTAATTTAATGTTTTAATTTCCTACAGAACGGAACATCATTCTCAAAGATGCCATAGAAAAAAATATAGGTGACGCTGTTTGTGGGCGTAAACATTTTACATACGGGTACTTTTTGTGTCGACAGATTGACCTTTATCTGTCAGATTCAGGCGTTTGCCGTTCAACTGCATGCGCTCATGGCGCAGCTCTTTATTTTGTGCTACTGTAGTGCCAAAACCCAAATGATTTGTTTTTCGTTATGATTTTTATCAACATCATAAATTCAATACCCCACCCTTCAAATTTTGATTTTGTTTACATTGTTTTGTTTTTATACACCCGTTTACGGGACGTATTAATGTGGTATACCGTTGTCCATCAACATGTCGGACAATAACTCAAAAATTCTTTAACTAATTTTGATGAAACTTTAGTGAATTGTTACATATATTGACATAAGTTCCCTTTCAACTTTTTATTTAAAATTTCTGATTTTACATTTTGGAGTATTGGGACTTTATTCGTGAAAAAGGGAGATTTTTTCGGACAATAACTCAAAAATGCTTTGAGCAGTTTTCATGAAACTTGGTGACTGGTTTATATCTATTAAAATAAGCTCCTTTTTATTTTTTTTTTATAAACTTCTGATATGAGTTATGGAACTTTATTCGTCGAAAAAGCGACGGACGCCGCTCTTTATTTGATTTAACACCCATTTCTTTAGCGTTAACCGAAATCCATACCCGCTCTGACTCTTAATGAATCTACCATGTCATGGATCCTGTAATTTAAGTGATAGATATCCAGAACCTGTTCGTATGATAGTCCTAGCCAGAACCAAGACACAAGCGTTATAATCGTAAAGCTAAAACCTTTCGTTGATTTGTAAAATTTGTTTCTTCTTTACATGATGTGAAAATTTCATTACGTGATGTGGTTACTTCTTTACATGATGTTAATTCTTCGTTACGTGATGTGGTTACTTCTTTACATGATGTGAATTCTTCGTTACGTTATGTGGTTACTTCTTTACATGATGTGAATTCTTCGTTACTTGATGTGGTTACTTCTTAACATTATGTGAACATTTCATTACGTGATGTGGTATCTTCTTTACATGATGTGAATTCTTCGTTACGTGATGTGGTTACTTCTTTACATTATGTGAGCATTTCATTACGTGATGTGGTAACTTCTTTACATGATGTGAAAATTTCATTACGTCATGTGGTAACTTCTTTACATGACGTGAATTCTTCGTTACGTGATGTGGTTACTTCAGTACATTATGTGAATTCTTCGTTACGTGATGTGGTTACTTCTTTATATGATGTGAAAACTTCATTACTTGGTGTGGTTACTTCTTCACATGATGTGAATTCTTCGTTACGTGATGTGGTTACTTCTTTACATGATATGAACATTTCATTACATGATGCGAAACTTTCTTTACGTGATGATAAAAGTCAATATGTCGTATTTTTATAACATTGGGCAAAAAGATAAACATTGTAATGTCAAATGGGTATTACATGGCAAGAAACACATATGACGTTATGTAAAACGAAACCTCTCGGACGTTAGTACATTAAATGTTATAGAAAGAATTAAGGGCATAAGGGGAAAAGTGGGCATGGCAAGTGTAAATCAAATTCCTGAAAGAATAGGCCTAGGGAAACATTGGGGAGCACATGCCGATCACAGGGACTCGGTTAGCAGAATAAAATTTTGTTTATCGATGTTTTTATCATTTTTTTTTTACGTATTTCCGGTCTATTTGTATTACATTAATTAGTAACGTCCGGTCTGTGTTTTTGTTATATGTTTTTCCGCTTTGTATCGATCTGATGAGTTATGCTCTTTTCAACTGATTTTTATAGTTTGATGAGTTATGCTCTTTTCAACTGATTTTTTATAGTTTGTTCTTATGTTGTGCTGTTACACCGATGTCCAAGTTTAGGGGAGAGTTGACCGCTCACAAACATATTTAACCCCGCCACACTCTTTATGTACATGTCCCAAGTCAGTACTGTTCATGCCTGTCATATTTGTTTTTCGTAAATTGTTTTGTTATAAATTATGCCATTATATAGTTTCTCAATTGAATTGCTTCATAATTTTCATTTCGGGGTCTTAAATAACCGACTATACGGTGTGGATTTTTCTCATTGTTATAGACCATACTATAATTGCTTACATCCACTTCATATGATCTTTGGTGGATAGTTGTCTCATTGTCAATCATACTTCATCTTATTTTCATATAACTCACAAACATGTCGTTTTTGAATAACATAGACGAAATAGGAGATATATCTGTCATCCGGAAATTTCCCAATTGTTTCGTTTATTACAACGATAGTCCCTCATACATAATGAAAGGAAAAAAGGAAATTTTCATCACAAATGGGGGAACATAACTCACTGGTTTCTTATCAGATACATTCACTAAAATCGAAGATATTAAAATGTACATGAAACTTAAGGGGCTCAGTAATTATGCTTTAAATTACTACACTGACTGTATTATCAACTACAAAAGTTTTTTTTATTGGCGTCTTTGTTTGATTTAATTGGAGTGCGTTTGAAATGTTACCTTTTTGCAAAGTTTCTGATTAAACTAAATTAGATTAACTTTATGAACTATTTTAAACAGTAATATTGAACGATATTTTTAAGAGAAAAGTAGTTAATGCATTAAAAATTTGAAAAATAAAATCATGTGTGTTTCTCTGTTATTTCGAAAAGCAATCTGCCTTTTGTAGTTTTGTTAAAACAGTGTACTTTTAAGCCTTGATTTTTCTAAGATACTGATCATAATGTTGAATGAACCCTTTTGACAGACAGTTTTATTTTTCCAATATTTGTCATTATAATTGATTTAATTAGATTATTTACTGTCAGACGTTGTATGTGTTGTTCTTCACGATAAGATTTCCTTCACGATCCTATACCAGATATTTCACGATCCAGTCGCAATACTTGATCACCGTTACTTATTCTTTCACGATCATTTTTCTCGATATACCGAATGACAGCCGTGAATACAGTTACTACTATACAATAGGCATTAGTTACTTTCTGTAATTTTTGCAATATATTTATATATAAAACTTATTTTTCCCAAAAAAGATAAAGAAATTATTGTGAGGTAATTTTTAGTTGGATTTTTATCAACTTGATACCAATAGACATGATAGATGCAAAACTTAAAGTCGGGTTTATTTTGTTATAACTTTTATTGTGAAGCGTTTTCCTTTTTCTGATTATGCAAACACAACTATTTTTATCTGATAGAAATTTGCTATAATTTCAACCGAGTTATTTTGCTCTCCTGTTGAAAAATTGGCACCCAACTGAAAACCCACCGTTAGATCTACTTACCCTTCCGGAGCACATGAGATCATCACCGGTAATTAGTGAAGTTCGTGTTGCTCAGTCTTTATTTTTTATGTTGTGTTTTGTATGCTGTTGTTTGTCTTTTGGTCGTTCTTCGTTTTTTGCCATGGATTTGTCGGCTTGATTTCGTCTTATGAATTTAAGTATGAATGTCTCTCTTTTAGAGAAAATACCTAATCAGGGTAAGTGATGTAGATATCTTATTTATAGTATAATGGCTCTTGAGATGGGAAAATGTACGGTGTTTTCTCTTACCTAGATATAAGCGCCCTCCATAAGTTGTACTAGTGAGACAGAGTACACATTTACATGTAGCTTAGTTGATAGAACGGCGCTTATTAAGCCAGGGATCAAGGGTTCGAAATCCGACTGAAACAGTAATTAATTTTGGAAGGCAATTCACGCCCTCCTGTTGAAAAATGGCCCATAACAAAACAAAATCATGGCTAGAGAAATACCTAACCAGTGTACGTGATGTAGATATCGTCATTATATAGTAAAAACCTCTTAGGATAGGGGAGTGTAGCGTTGCTTTCCCTTATCTAGTAGATAGATAATTGCCCTCTATTAGCTGCACTAGCACTCCTTTGCCTCAATTGGAAGAGAGGTGGATGACTATTCCTATGGTCCAAGGTTCGAATCCCGGCTGGTACAGTAATTACTTTTGGAAGGCAAAAATTATACAACTGTAAAATTACAATTGGGTGTATAATTATATAAACTCCACGCTGGTTAACTTCTTCCAGCTTCCTGAATGATTCATACTTTTCTTAAATTACAGTTATCAACCTATTATCTCTGGACAACTGGACAAAAACAGAACGACAAATGGAGTTGGGGCACTGACAAACCAGCTTTCGAAGGTGTTAAATGGCTTACTGGACAACCTGATGGGGAAGGAAAATGCATAACAATCTATACAGCAAATGGATTCATGGACGACAAATCATGTGAAACGAAATTCAACTATGTCTGCAAGACAAAACTTTGATAGGCCATGGTGCTCAAACTATGTTATTAGAATACAATTTTACTTTTGAATCGAATCGGTAGATATTATTATATTTCTTTGTATTCTTAAAACAGATATATGTTGGAATCACATGATGTGTGCATCCTTAAATAATTAAAAAAATTATTAAAACCTTGTATCGAAAATGACTTTACATTTCACTTTCTCAATATGAAATAAAGAATTAAAGACAACTACTGTATGCTACATGTTGTTACCAATAAAGGAAACCAATATTTTATAAATAAATAGTTTATCAATATGAAATACAATAAAATGATGTATGTCCGTTTTATTTTACCATATTCGCAGATGTCAATAACACCTCAAACTGCAGGGTACTGATATGTTAGCATGACATTGTATAATTGTGTGTGGGCTACAAAACTGTTCTATAAATACCCCCACGCCAATGAGACAGAAACTAAACGACACAAGTTTCTTTTTGTGATTGGTAAGTTGTTCTATAAATATCCCACGTCAATAAGACAGCAACTAAACGATACAACAAACACTTTAAAATTGTCACTTCCATGTAAGCATGTATCATTGTGTGTTGGCCAATCTGACTGTTCTTTAAATACTCCGAGTCAATGAGACAGCAACTAAACGACTCAACATGAACTAATGTCACTTCCATGTTAGCATGTATCATAGTGTGCTGGCTAAGCTGTTCTTTAAATATCCCAAGTCAATGAGATCAACTAGACAACACAATATGGCCTTTTTCAATTCAATGTTAGAATGATGGGCTAAGCTGTTCTATAAATGCTCCATGTCAATTAGATAGCAACTAATCTATTATACATGCTCTTTTTGGTCACTTTTATGTTAGCACGTGTCATTGTGTGTGAGCTATGCTGTTCTATAAATATCCCACGTCAATGAGACAGCAACTTATCGATACAAGATGCACTTTTGTCAATTTCATGTTAGCATGTACCATTGTGAGTGGGCTAAGCTGTTCAATCAATAAGACGGCAACTAAATAATACAACATTCACTTTTATCACTTTCATGTTATCATGTGTCATAGTGTGTGGGATAAGCTGTTCAATGAATATCCCACATCAATTAGATGTGTGGGTGACTGAGCTGTTCTATAAATACCCAACATCAATGAGACAGCAACTAAACGACACAACCTGGAACGTTTGTCACCTCCATGTTAGCATGTGTCAAAGTGTGGGCTAAACTGTTCTATAAATACCCCCATGGCAACCACACAACACAACTTTTGTCACTTTCATGTTAGCACGTGTCATTCTGTATGGGCCAAGCTGATCTATAAATAACCCCACGTCAATGAGACAGCAACGTTAAGACACATGAACTTTCGTCACTTCCATGTTAGCATGTGTCATAGTGTGTTGGCCAAGCTGTTCAATAAATACCCCAAGTCAATTAGAGCAACTTAACAACACAACATGACCTTTTTCAATTCAATGTTAGAATTATGGGCTAAGCTGTTCTATAAATACTCCACGTCAATTAGACAGCAACTAATCAATACAACATGCTTTTTTGTCACTTTAATGTTAGCATGTGTCTTTGTGTGTGAGTTAAGCTGTTCTATGAATATCGCACGTCAATGAGACCTCATCGATACAAGATGCAATTTGGTAATTTCATGTAAGCATGTAAAATATGGTGTGTGAACTAAGCTGTTCTATGAATATCACACGTCAATGAGACAACAACTAATCGAAACAAAATGCACTTTTGGCACTTTCATGATAGCATGTGTCATTTTGTGTGGGCTAAGCTGTTCAATGAATATCCCACATCAACAAGACAGCAAATAAACGATACAACATGCACTCTTGTCACTTTTATAGCACGTGTCATTGTGTGTACTGTAGGTTAAGCTGTTCTGTAAATAACAAAATCAATGAGATAGCAACACAACGACACAACATGAACTCTTGTCACTTCTGTGTTAGCATGTAACATTGTGTGGTGGCTGAGCTGTTCTATAAATACCCCATGTAAATGAGACAGCAAATAATCGACACAACATGAACTTTTGTCACTTCCGTGTAAGAATATTTTTTTGTGTAATCGGTAAGTTGATCTATAAATATCCCACGTTAATAAGACGGCAATCAAACTATACAACAAACACTTTAAAATTGTCACTTATATGTTAGCATGTATCATTGTGTGTGAGCTTAGCTGTTCTATCAATACCCCTAGGTCAATGAGACCGCAATTAAACGATACAACATTCACTTTAAAATTTTCACTTACATGTAAGCATGAATCATCGTGTGTTGGCTGAGCTGTTCTATGAATACCCCCACGTCATTTCCATGTTTGCATGTATCATTGTATGTGGGCTAAGCTGTTCTAGAAGAAGAAGAAGATGTTTTATTTCCATTAAATGTTCTATAAATGTTCCACATCAAAGAGACAGCAACTAAACGGTACAACAAAAACTTTAAAATTTGTCATTCACATGTAAGCATGTATCATTGTGTTGGCTGAGCTATTCTATGAATACCCCCACGTCAGTGACACATCAACTAAACGATGCACCATACACTTTTGTCACTTCAATGTTAGCATGTATCATTGTATGTGGGCTAAGCTGTTCTAGAAGAAGAAGAAGATGTTTTATTTCCATTAAATGTTCTATAAATGTTCCACATCAATGAGACAGCAACTAAACGATACATCTAACACTTTTTCAAATTTTCAAATAGATTCCCTTGTATATTACTATATAGTATATACCCTTTATGAGCCCCGGATAAATGTTTAAATATGTTAAATTAACGGGGATTTCGTATCCAGTCGTCCTGGTGAAGAGGTATGAATCGTGGCTTTTTTGCTAAAGGTTTTGCGTTCGATTCCCCGCATAGACACTAGAAATTTAGTGGATTTTTTCTACATAAATTTTGAAAGTTTTTAGTCTTTATTCCGAAAAAGTATTCTAAGTTTTATTATCACATACTTACAACTTCTCGTCTAATCAAATTGCTTGAATATGCCTTCTAATTTTCGTAGTACATACTTTTTCCGTGTACTAAGTAACTACGCATGAATGACCACAATGGTAAGATTTCATTGTAACGTAATCAAGATATTAAAACAAAAATTGCCACTGGCTATTTTGAAATAAAATGCTGTGTTCCAAATTAAATTAAGGCGAAGTGTACGTAATTAACTACTCCACAGAATTTTTTTAAATTTTACATGGGGATTCTGCTTGTAAAAATACATCAGACAATAAAATAAAAAAAGGGGGTAACCGTTTTCGTTGTTCAGATACAAGCTGTTGAAATTAACAGCATGATACGCCAAAAATACACAGGATATATAGGGAAAATCATAAAAATCGGCAGATATTTTTACTTTATCAAGATTTTCTAATTCGTTGCTCCACAGAATTTTTTTAAAAATCGATATGCGATTCAAAAATGAACGACGAACCCATTGGTGCAAAGAACGTCCTTAGCAACCGTGCTAGTTTTCAAGCTATATCCTGTGGAAGTTTGATTTTTAGCGGAAAGAATAAAAACATTCGGCGACGTTATTGATGTCTACTGTACATAACGTCATCACAATTTCTTCTCTATAACGCTATTATACCGTACAGTGTCGTAACAAAATCGTGAATGTGTATAACCCATTTTCCTAATTATTGCAAATGCTCAAGCGTAATCAATTAATAAGGAAATAAACTGACTATTTTTTAAAGATATTTCTGCTGCCAAAAAAAAGCAAATTGGCAAATAAATATACTGCAAGTGAATGAAAGTTACTATATAGACTTAAACTCCATCTTTTTTTAATTAGACAGGGTTCCACTTCTTTTTTGAAATGCTTGTATTTATAGCTGACTATGGGCGTTGATCATTGTTGAAGGCCGTACGGTTACCTATAGTTGTTAATTTCTGTGTCATTTGGACTCTTGTGGAGAGTTGTCTTTTTGGCGTTCATGCCACATGTTCTTTTTTTATATTGTATTGTTCTAATAATTATGAATCAAATATCAATTTTAAAATTGTCCCAGTTAACACAGCGTTGACAGAATGATTCTATACGTATTTAAATAATCGGTTATATTATTGGGATCGCGTGTACACGTCTTTTTTTAAATCTTATTTCTGCATGTTTGTATTTTAAAAAAGTGAATATAATTTGCTGCATCTTTTCATCCTCACCATTTCCGGTGCTATTCGAGGGATTGCGCACAAACGGCCCATTTTTTTGTCAGGTTCACACGCGTGCACGTGACATAACTCTGCAATTTTATTTAAAAAATTTCCTGTCTCGATCGCTTTCCCTTTTCTTTAACTAAACGACAAAGCATGATATAATGTTTGCTGGAGATTTTAAGTGACCAAAACTTAAGTGAAAATTATTCAATTTTTACAATTCGAGTTAAAGTATTTTGAAGTTTAAATTTTTATTTTATTTCTAAAATTTCTCCTTATGTAAGTTACATTATTTTTGGAATGTAATTTCTGATAAAGAAGAATGACATACAACTTGAATATTTAGATTACGTAATTAAGACGGATAACAAAGAGACATGTAAGCGCTAAATTATTTACTTTGGATTATGTACCTTACATGTAAATTAAGGCTTTTGTTAAACAACCTTTTCCTATTACTCATGTGTGAAATTGTTAATAACACCTGTCACCCATGACTTGATTATTGGCCAACCAGTGAAAATAGGTTGTGGTCAAGGGAGCTTCATAAGGTAATTTTTGATTGGTGAAAACAGGAGAAAGTTAAGAAATCAGTGATCATGTGACCACGCCCGCATGGAAACAATTTATGTTTTCAACGGTCACTTTGATTACTGATTTCAAGAAATAAACATCTATATTTACTAGAACTTTCTCTTGTTTTACACCAGGTAAGTTGAATTTTATTTTTTTTGTATTTTTGTTTTATTTAAATTAAAGAGTTTTAATTACTTTATATTTTTGGGAAAAGCTAACGAAAGTACAAATTCATTGAAGAAATTCACTTAAACTAATTGTAAAAGTTTTGTATAGATTGTATTTCGTTTCCATTGTGATTAATTATTTTTATGTTGGTTACGCTTAGGACGCGTCACTTTTAGTTTATGTAAACAATTGATAAACGTTTCAAGAATTTATTTAATATATATCTATTCTATGTTTAGAAATATTTAGTTAATTTTATAATAGTTATTTTCAAAAGTTTATTGAAAGTCCGGAAATATTTCACATTGTATCCGTAGTAACTTTTAAGTGTTATAATGTCCAGGGGAGATAATTTGTAATTTTTATTTGCCGGGAGAAATGTCTTT